TACTATTTGTAAGCAGTCCAGCTGCAATTGCTTTGGCAATACAAATGTATAATTTTTGTCATGCCAATAAAACTCTTAAATTGAAATTGAAATTGAGAGAGAGAAAGAGTGCATGTGTCTGTCTGTGTGTGTGTGTGTGTGTGTGTGAGAGAGAGAGAGAGAGAGAGAGAGAGAGAGTGTATGTGTCTGTCTGTGTGTGTGTGTGTGTGTATGTCTGTCATTTCCCATTCATTTCAATGTGGGGTCATATTGACCCCAAGGGACCGATTTGTAAAAAAAAAATTTACATACCTTCAGAACAACCGAATCAAGCCCAGTTTTTTTTATGTGAATATAGATATAAAATGTTGAAAAGTCACAAAATCTTATTCCACTGAGATGAAGGGAAGCATTTTTTTAAGCTAAGTAAAAGTTGATTGGGGTCATCGATTCTACAGGAGGCCTTTATACACTCAGGCTTATCGCCCTGTTAGTTGTAGTGGGTGACTTACTATCCAACAAGCTACAGTATTAAACAAGCTAAGCTAGGTAAACTTATTATCGCTCATAGAAAAATACATCGGATATCATAATATTTTGTCATGACTAATTTATTAATGATCCAGCATCATCTGTATTAAAGAGAAAAAAACACTTCATCCGATGTTTAAAGTGAATAAAATAGCCTTGACAGCCTACTTACACATAACTACTGAAGAACTTCTCTCCACCGGACTCGTGTGCAGGGTTGCCAGGTTTTCACAACAAAACCCACCCAATTGCTACTCAAAACTAGCCCAAAACCAGCCCAATCGTGTTTCGAGGGGGGTCTCCTGGTAAAAATTTTAAAAATTTTAAAAAATTTTACCCCCTGATATTTTAGATATTTAGATATTTTAGATATTTTACATCTTTAAACCCCCCCGATGTGTCGATGTGTTCTTGCAAAGTTACTTATATAGTTCGTAGAATGTCGGGGGACCATCAAAATAAAATGTTAGCAGATATTAAGCAGACAGTCTATTAATATTGACTAATAATGACTGCTAGTTGACATGTAGTTGCAGAGTTAGTAGTAGATTGTCTAAAGTGGACTCAAAATAAAGTGTTACCTAATTCAGCTTGTCATATTGTGTGAAGGCATAACTATACTTGTTTCTTTACTCAAAAGCTTTTCATTCAAATTAGGATGTATGCATTTAGATAATTTATGTAGATTGTATAGATATAATGCACAGTATAAAATAAGCTATCTATCTATCTATCTATCTATCTATCTATTAGCATGTGGATGGATGTCCTGCACATCTAAATCGAAACTATATTACTCTTTTGTATAAAAAGTCATAATATGGACAATATTCATTTCAAACGAGCGCCGTCAGGCTTGGTGGGAATAAGTTGTTCTTTTTGTCATTTGTGACATGAAAAGAAGGAAAAAAGCATATCGTTCCCTGGATCTATTTTCCTCCAGCACTAGAGAGGAGAGGAAGTAATACTTGTGCCAGAAGGGAGTCATTGGAAAAATTCATCATGAAAATAGAACAATAAGAACTGCATGGCACATTAACTGCAGGGGCTTGTCAGGTACAAGAATGCTGTGTGCAGGGATTCTGGTTAAATGTTGCAATTATGGAGTTGTATTGTTGGTTTAGAAATGTTTGTGCCAAAAGTGCTTTACTAGAATTCAACATGATGAGAATTAGAATATTTCTTGTAACTGTGGACTGTAACCACTAAATACATTGGAGAACTGTGGCTTTACTTTTCAAATAGTGCTCATTATTTGTTTCTTTCCCATGTTAGTGACCTTGCTTGTTGACAGTTTAATCTAGCAGCTGTGACAAAAATGTGAGACGAATAGGTCGCTGTCTCATGGGGAGATTTTGATATCTGTAATTTATAGAACATGAGAGAGAGAAGAAAAACATTGGGTTTAACACTAAGTTCATATACAATACAAAAATCATTTGCAAGTATAGATACATGCATAAACTAATTTTGCACACTGTATTAAAAAGGTTTTGAATATGTTATCAGTTTTAGCAGGTATGTCTTTCCAAATCCCCTATTTTAGCACATACTGCAGAATTAGGTTCCCATTGCAGATACCTAGGTTTATTTTGGTATGTTTGGTATAGTTTTGTAAATAAATTGTATTAATTCAGCTATACAAATTAGACCTAAGCAAATATTGGGAGACAAAACTCATTTGCATCCTCATAATTACATTCTTATTCTTAAAAATAAATAAATAATAAAAATAATAATAATAATAATAATAATAATAATAAAACACAGGAGATTGAAAACCCAAGTACAAAATGCTAAAAGTCAGAGAATCCGTAATGACCTTTCAATGCTATTTATGGACATGTTGAAAATTTACAATCAAAATGATTGTCATTCTCAAATCTTTTTAAAAGATTTTTCTTTGAACTTTTAAATAATCATCACATTAATATTCCTACATAGAACAGGACTTAAAACAAAGCTTATTTTGCATAAAAGACTATTAAAGCACTGGAAACTTGATTTATTTCTGCATATTCAGTTGCAATAGCATAGAAAATAAAAATGTGACAGTGATTTAGTGAGACCAGTAAACCCAATGAGATAAATTCCATAAGAGCTCATTATTCAAATAATGTTATTTTGCTTGGGAAAAAAAAAAACATGGATCATTCATAATGAGGAAATACCTTTAATAAATTATGTATGATGCTAACTGTACAAAAAGGTTTTTTATAAACAATGGCAGTTTATATACATATATATATATATATATAGGAAGGATATGATGTATGAAATATAAGGACATTTATATATATATATATATATATATATATATATATATTGTCTAAAAGAAGAAAGTCATATACACCTAATTTCCATTTTTGGGTGAACTATCCCTTTAAGTATTCCAAGGATGTTCCTACTATACATACATATAAGGATATGAACGTATGTGCAAATATAGGTTATGCTGAAATTTCACAGGGTAAACTAGCTATTACAGGAAAAACAATGACAGTGATAACCATCCACTGTTATGATTTGATTCAATCGCTTGTATATAAACCCCCAGTGTCTCAGAGCACAGTTTTCAGTAACCATTTCATCCTCAGTTAGAGAATGTAGGTCTGCGGGATATTCTAATCACATTATATGTGTTGAGCCCTGGAGCATCGAATCCAGGAGACACGCCTTTCTTGTCAAAGACATAAAAGTTAAACAGCTGCCCGTCTTGAGCTTCGAGGGACACGGATGCGGTGTTGACACGCAGCACGCAAGGATATTCTTTCTCAAACACAACTCTAAAGACTCGGTCCACTAGGTAATTCAATTTTATGGTCTGGTACCGCTCAGGGATGAGATCCTCTATTTGAGGTCCAAACTGCTGCATGATCAAGACACCATCTGGCCCTGCTTTAATCTCATAAAACGTGATGTTGCCGTAAGTGTAAAAGCCGACGTAGGGTGCAGGACTGGGGGGAGGAATAAGAAACCGCCTGGCCTCCCTGAAGGCCCTCTCTATGGCGGGAATGATATGCGAGTAGGCCTTTGAAACCATATCCTGGTTCTGTGGCTGTGTACCTGCCATTAGCACCACCAATCCTAGCTTAAGCCGAGGCACCAGAGAGAATGTAGCGGAGTAGCCATCTAGATCACCATCCTTGCGAAGCACTTCATAACCCATCTGTTCTTTCACTTCCCACGGTGTTCCGGTGCGGTTGGCGAAGTAGTCTTTGTTGCAGCGGAACAGAGGGGTTAGCATAATTTTTAAAGTGTCAGGCTTCAATAGCTTGCGGTGATAGGCTCCCAGTAACATCATTGATAATTTAGCCATGTCAGCAGCTGTTGAATACATCTGGCCCGAGGGGCGGTACCAACCCAAGTCATAAAGAGGTGCTGTTTGGCCACTGGCGTACACACCTAAAGCCATTTGACTTTGGATACCAGGGTTGATGTCAAACCCTGTGTCCTCCATTCCCAGCCTGCCCAGAATGTTATCCGTGATCCATCGCTGATAATTGATACCCACAACTCTCTCAGATAGGACATGGGCGAGCAAAGAGAACGCCAAATTGCTGTAGTGACATCTAACAGGGAAATTTGAAGAGAACAATACGTTAAATCTTCCTTCAACCTCAAAGGCATGCTATTAGGAGACAACAGAAAAGTTATTATCATTATCGTCACGGTCCATAACCTTTCAACAGAGAAACAGCAATTCAGATGACACAAAATGAGTTCAATTAAAGTAGCTGATAGGAACAAATACGGTTACATAAATCAGCTAAATTAATGCGGCGGAAACTTACTTGGTCCCTGGATCAGCAACGAGCACATCATCTTGCAGGAGGTTGATTGCAGCCTTGGTCTTCCCTTTCCACAGTAAATTAGTTCCACGGAGTCTTCTGGGTAGACCTTCAAAAAAAATAAAAAATACAATATGGTGAATAATGCATAATTGTGACTCTTTCAAAAGCAATTTGCTTCAAGCGGCTTAGGGAAATTCATGTTCTCTTAAAGGGTTCAAAAAACTTGTACTATGAACAAAAACGTTCAGAACACCAAACTTTCTCCACAGGAAGAGCCTGTATTGAAACTAAGGACAAAATAGTTTGTCCTGTTCATTCAGAACAATAATCTGATTAAGCAATAATTCAAAAGTCAGAATAAATAATTTAACTTTCTACATTTGAAACATGGCCTGCCAAGTTACAGTAAGGAAATGTGGATGAAGGAGGATAAATGTAGTGCGGGCTCTGCAAAGAGGTTATTATTGAAGGATTTTGGAGTTAAAACCTATATCGGACTCAAAATTGGCAGCAGCTTGTGAGTAACTGGACATTTACACTCGAGTTTAAAGACAGAGCAACAAAAACGCTTCTTAGTTCTAAAACTATGTGTACGCTAAGGTATGCATACAGTGTGTGTGACCGAAATTTCATCATCAGCATAGTAAAGCATGTTCTGCATGTGCACAACCAGATTTTTCTAACCAGACATACTCTGTATGATCAGTTTGGATATAAGCGTTGAATTTTTCTGCATAAATTAAGTTTGTCCAAAGTCGTAACACTGTCCGTGTCCATTGCTTTACATTTGAAAAAAAGAATGGATGAGATGGAACAACAGCAAACTACTGAAGACAGCAACAGCAATAGACTTTAACACTGATGAGAGCTTTGACTGTTTAATTTCTGCACTGAAAGGATTAAACATTCTATTCACTTTTAATTTTACCTAGCTGGCATAGCAGCCGAGATCAGTAATCACACACATCAAGTGAAGGCGTATTTCGCCGGTCACTACAGGTACATTACTTTCATTACTGTGACATTGCAATAGATGAGTTTCTTGTTTTTAATTCTGAGCTCTTGAGTTTGTTCCACTAAATTGTCCATGTTCACTACTAGCAATTGAGGTCAGACAGCTGGCCCACCGCTGAGTTCAAAGAAACATTCATTTTGACCTACTGCTATGGTTATTACATGGAATTGCTTCTTGACACAAGACTGGAAGCTGAAAACTTACCAGAAAGCTGGCTGGCCATTCTTCTTAATGTTACAGAGGACGATCGGATTTGAACCTCACCGCTGTCAAGGAAGATCAGCCCATCAGTGACGTATTTCAGCTCAGAGTCTCTGCTTTTGCCCAAGGGGTTTTTAATGGTGAAGTTGTCCACATACTTCTCCAGTGGGTCATCCAGAGAGCCCACTTTGCCATCTTCCCACAGCCGATACAGCATCAGGGTGGGAAAGATCTTGGATACACTGGCAATTCTACAGAAGGGCAACCATGCAGAAGATTAAGACGTTTTCTATATTCTAATGTGCTCAAAATAAGATTTTTATTATTTATGAAAATAATCTGGTTATGAAAAAATGACAACAGCTTCCACACTGGTGCTGTGAGATCAGCAATGAAAATGAATTATTAATCATTAAAATGCAATGGAATTGCTAGACATCAAGTCAAGTATAATGCTACTTTAAGCATCAAAGGATGTCATAAAAAAATCCCTGCCTCACTGGAGTTTTTATTTTTTGTGTATTTCAATAAAACTGTCATATTTCCAAATTTCACTGTTGTAATAGGCTTTACGTTCTGAAAAGGCTTTTAACAATTCCTGACTTGTTCAGGTGTTTGCATTGTGTGACGTTGATTGACTAGCCAACCCAGTGTGCGTCAGAACTTGACACTGAGACTGTCCTTGAATGGTTTATGAGTTCAATCTCAGCCTTTTGAACAATGAAAATGACATCTCCTAACAGTGTACCCTCATAAATCCTATATACGTCTCAGCCATGTGAGTATGCAGGTCAAAACACCTCGCTACTCAAAGATGGATTATATTTGTGAACACCCTTGACTCTGAAAATGTCATAAAACCATTCCACAATCCATTACAATAGTTTGAGCCATGCATGCAAACAATAGCTGGGTTGTGTACAAGATGATCTTTACAGCTAGAACTAGAGAAAAGCAGCTCAGTAGCATTAACAGGACTCAGAAAAGATTACTTCTCAGAAGGCAGAGAAAGTGGCTATACATTCTCAAGATCTGATAAAAACCAGCAGCTTCATCATCTGTATTCAAGACCATACCATGCAGCTGCCAACCCTCAGGACCTTTAGAAATAATCTTTGGCCTCAAACACAGCAGCAATACAATCCATTGAGAGGTTTTAAAAACTAAGGGAAATGTGTGTGTGATGTAAATGCAAATTATGCAACATTTGTACAAACCCTTTCCCTTTGTAAATGTAAAATCTACAAAAGATATTTTGGTGGTGTTAGGCTATAGTTCAGATAGAAATAAGGTATATTATTATGATTCATGGAGTGGATGCCAATTCCTTTTGAATGCACAAAACAGCATGCTATTGGTTGGCAGAACACACCCAGATTTTCTTATACTCTCCTTCTACCCTTTCCAAGTCTAAATTAAATAGTTGTGGGAATGATTTCTGAATTTGTGGGAACTAAATATGTCTCTCTCTCTCTCTCTCTCTCTCTCTCTCTCTCTCTCAAAACATGCCTTCTGTAGAAATTCAAGGGAATGAAACATTCACATAAACATTCCTTGCTTCTGTATGAGCTTCTAAATAGTCCTGGTAGTCATGTCAATTCTTCTTTTTTTTTTTTTTAAGTTGACATGTGCCTAAAAATGCCCCCCCCCCCCAACAAAAAAAAAACACAAAAAAAACCAAACAAACAAAACAATAACAACATTGAGTCCATGGCTTTCAATAGAGAGAACAGTCTTGCTTTTGTCCACTTTGAAAATGCAACAACGTTAAACTGTGGTGCTTGAAATGGCTCCACTGTGTAATGTAAAATGAGCAAATTAGAAGTGGATTTGGACTGATTAAATCAGGCTTGGCAGATAATTGGGCTCTAACTGTGGAGCTGTGTGCTTCTTCACTGAAAAAGAGCAGCATAGCTCTTAGGTGATGATGCTTAAATGATTGCAGCTATATGGGTCCAAATCA